CATCCTTTAGAAGTACTGCTTTTTTTTTTTTTTTTTTTTTTTTTTAATGGAAATAACCCTAATATATACAGGTAGAAATAGCAGAAAAGATCTACTGAATTTGGTTAAGATGTGTATTTATTCTGTTAACTTTCACTTTTTGAATTTAGGGTAAAATGAAACTAGCCAGATTCCTAAGGTCTAGTCCAAAGTCCATGCAGTTTTTAGTTTGTTGAAGACAATTATAAAACAGTGGCCACTTCAATTTTTCAAAATATGAGTTATAAAATACACTTTGATGTCAGTGGGTGATTTGTTTTCTCTCATGAAAAACAAACTTTCAGATCTGGTAAGCTACGAACTACTGGGGCATTCTAGTTTTAAAAGGCTAATTTGTGAGAAATTAACTTCATATATAGTCATTTCTCTGCAAATGACTGAAATTCATACACTTGGCCTCACTCTTTTTTTTTAATCCTCGCCTGAGGCAATTTTTCATTGATTTTTAGAGAGAGTAGAAGGGAGGGGTGAGACAGAAATATTGATGTAAGAGAGACACATCGATTGGTTGCCTCCCACACACACCCCAACTAGGGCTGGGGATCGAATCTGCAACCAAGATATGTGCCCTTAACCAGAATCGAACCTGGGACCCTTCAGTCCATGGGCCAATGCTCTGTCCACTGACCCAAATTGGCCAGGGCATTTGGCCTCACTTTTAACTCCCAACTTCTGTTTGTGTCTCCAGTTGCTCACTAGACAGTTGTACATCACCTCAAACTCAACTTTTCTAAAATTCAACTAACCTTTCCAAGATGGCCCCATCTGTTTACAGTGACCTGTTTCTATCAGATGTACTGTTCTTCTTCCCCAGTTCTGAAACCTAGCCAGCATCTTGGATTTTTCTTTCTCTCTAGGCACCAAAGTCCACAAATAATAATAATAATAATTACTATTATTATTATTATTATTATTAGAAATACTGTTATTCTTTTTTTTTTTATTTTAGAGAGAAGAGAGAAACATCGATTTGTTCCACTTATTCATGCATTCATCAGTTGCCTCTTGTATGTGTTCTTACCAGAGATCAAACTCACAATTTTGGTGTATCAGGACAACACTCTAACCAGCAGAGCTACCCGACCAAAGCCCATAAGTTATTTTCTTAACATCTTCTGGATAGATTGATCCCTTTCTTTTACTACCTTTGCCATTTTCATTTTTGTCACCTTAGTTCCAGCAGTGATAACAGTTCATTTGTAACTTGTTCCAACCTAATCCTTCTTGATGAGATTTATTATCCTAATGCACAGCTGTCTGCTCTCATTGCCTCTGACACCTTTATGTGCTCCCATTGGCTCACCTGTCTTTAACCAGGCACATAAGACCCTGTATCGGACCTGTAGCTCCTATATCACTCACTGCTCCCCATGAAAACACTGAGAGCAGCGCCCAAGTCAGGCCCATCTTTTCTGACCCCTTGCCCAGCCCTCAATGGGAGCCTTATATCTTTCCTTTGACACTGAGTCCAGATGTGAATATGAATGTACCTAAAGGGCCTTCCCAATGTCCAAGCTCATAGGAAAAGTTCAGTAAATAGCAGTGTTTCAGTTGTTTCCTGGGATGATACTGTCCACATGGTAGTTGTTTAATAACTATTAACCAAGTAAAGAAACTACTCAAAATGATTTCTTTTTCCAGAAACCTATATATAAGATCTCTCACTTCTTTAGCAATTTGAAGAGACTGTACAAAGTAAAGCACTTAGAAAATTTTTCAAAGTTCCTTAATAGCCCTGGCCAGTGTGCTTAGTGGTTAGACCATCAGCCTGTGCATCAAAGGTTCTCAGGTTCAATTCCTGGTCAAAGGCACGTACGTATCTGGGTTGCAGGTTCACTCTCTGCCAGCCCTGCCCCCAGCCTTCCCTGTCCTCACATTGATTTTTTTTCTCTCTCCCCATCTCACCCTCCTTTCTGCTCTCTCTAAAATAAAAAATAAATCAATAGAAAATATATCCTCAGGTGAGGATTAATAACAACAAAAAGTGTTCCTAAACATACAAGTAATGAGCAAATGTGATTATCAGAAATGATTTAGAATTTGTCATTAAGAACATTTATTTAGGTTCTTTTCTTCCAAATAGAACAGTTTTTAATAGACCTATACAAAAGATTGTTTCCGTCTTTGCTACCATCAATTGTAAATAACTATTATTTATTTAAATTAACACTAAGCTTAAAATTTAGTTCTGTTTATTCTGAGTTGAAAATCTCCCATTAGTGTTTGGCCAAAAGAAATATAATACAGTATACTTTCTATAATTTTATATATATATATATATATATATATGTTTCACAATTATTAAAATGTCAGACATTTTCATTAAGAACAACTCCGTAAGTACAAAGAAACCACACACCAGGCAAACAATCATGACCCTCTCCACTCAACACACCCACTACTAATACTTCACTGTATTTTCTTCTAGTCTTTGTTTATAGATTTGCTCATTTAAATTATAGTGTTATCATGTTCTATGTAAAAATGTTCACCTTTTAAAGGGTGATAAAATTCTCTTATCACTGCATTTGAAAAATCAGGTAAATTGCCATATGCCCAGCTCTGTACTAGGCACTTTACTTGCATTCTCTTATTTCATCCTTAAAACCTCCTAATGGCCGAAACCGGTTTGGCTCAGTGGATAGAGCATCGGCCTGCGGACTGAAAGGTCCCAGGTTCGATTCCGGTCAAGGGCATGTGCCTTGGTTGCGGGCACATCCCCAGTGGGGAGTGTGCAGGAGGCAGCTGGTCGATGTTTCTCTCTCATCGATGTTTCTAACTCTCTATCTCTCTCCTTTCCTCTCTGTAAAAACTCAATAAAATATATTAAAAAAAAAAAAAAAAAACCTCCTAATGAATAGCTGAAACAAATATAATATTGAATGTCAACTATAATTGAAAAATACCTTTTTAAAAAAAAGATTGATTCAGTGATACAGAGTGACCCATATCCTCAGGTTAATATGGACTCTTCAACTGGTGATAAAAATTCTTGGAATCTTAAAAATAAACAAACAGAAAAACTCCTGAAGAGGTAAATCTATTACCACCCTCATTGATACTTGAGAAAGCTATGAAGGACTCTTTGCTTTTGCATCAGACTCGCTGGCTCCCTGGTGGGCCCTTGGGAATCTTGAAATCTGGGCACAACAATATTAATATAAATCTATTTTAATTATGAAAAGTAACAATACAAAGAAATGGACAATAAAAACTTCATAACTATGATTATCTTTGTATATCCCCTGCTGGTTTTTTCCCATTTGAATGTTTTATATGACTATATAAATATAGGTTATATCTATATTTAAAAAAAAAAAAAAAGAGAAAGCTGAGACTCAAAGAGGTCGAGACCCACAACTGGTAAAGGGCAGAGGTGGGGTAAGAACCAAGGCAGCCCAATCCTGGGACGTGTGTTCTTTTTTTCTTTTCTTTTTTTTAATATGTTTTTATTGATTTCAGAGAGAGGAAGGGAGAGGGAGAGACATCATCGGCTGCCTCCTTCATGTCCCCTACTGGGGACCAAGCCTACAACCCTGAATTGAATTTAGCAACCTCCTGGGGCATGGGTCAACGCTCAATCACTGAGCAACACTGGCCAGACTTGGGACTTGTGTTCTTATCTACTGTGCCTGCAAAGTGTAAACTGAGCTCAGTGTGATCAGTGTGACTGATTTACATTTTTTCTTTCACAATAGCGACATTGAGAAACTCACCCACCACTGTGATAATGCCTACACTGTGATAATACCGGGAACACAATGAATAATCATTTTTTAGCCCCTGTTTACACCACACACCATCCTAGCCACTATACTGTCATGGTCTCTAGTCCTCACAGTAGGTCTTGAAGGTTTTGTATTGTTACCACCATTTCATAGCTGAGAAAAAAGGCCCAGGGAGCTCAAGAAATTTTATGCACAGTCACAGAGCTAGTGAGTTGCAGAGTTGAGATTCTAACTCCATGGTATTCTCCATCATACTGCCTCTTAATAAAAAAGTCTCATGAGCCTTAGATGAGAATAAGAAGAGAATGGATCCTTTGCCATTTGCATATTAGTGATATTAGCATATTTCTCTGGCACCAAATTGGCCAGACCCAGAGGGCATGATATGCATGTTTGGGTTGATTTGGGGAAAAGGGTAATATTGAGCCATGGTGGGGTTGATCGGGCACAGAGCACCTCAAAAAAAAGGCTTCACTTACTTCTTAGAACTGCTCCTGTGGGAACCTCTGAAGTCAAATGGCTATGAAATAAATAATTACCTAAAGGAAAGGCAGATTTATTTGGACAAAATGTGTTATTTATGTGAAATACATTTTGTTCTTGTTGTTAATCTGCACTCCAGGATATTTTTCCATTAATTTTTAAGGAGAGCAGAAGAGAGAGGGAAAGACAGAGAGAAACATCAATGTGAGAGAAACACATCAATGGATTGCCTCCTGCACGAGCCCTGATCAGAGCCCAGGCCAGGGAGGAGCCTACAACCAAGGTAGATGCCTTTGACCGGAATTGAACCCAGGAACTTTGGTCTGCAGGCCGACGCTCTATCCACTGAGCCAAACTGAAATACATCTATTATTGCCAACTCCAGACATTTCACCGGGCCAAGAAGCTGGTTTATTTTAAATCACACCCACTGAAAAGATTTTAATTGAAAAAACTGAGACTAGAGAAATTACATTTTCAGAAGAAATTAGTGAAAGAGTAGGATCTAGAATTCTCCACACTGCCTCCCAAGTCTATTGAACTTGCCACTACACTATTTTGCTTTACCTAATTTTCAAAAGTAAGACAGGCGAGGAAGAAATTCAGTAATGTTTATCTGGATTTTGGAATGTGAATTTTTAGAAATCAAATTTGTCGCATTTAAAAATTAGCTTTAATTGAATGGCAGTAATCTCAAATACCTACTAAACTGATTGTCCTATTCCTGTTGCTGTCTCTCTCTTTTTCTAGATTTAACGATGCTTTACAGCAGTTTTCTAAGTCTGAAATTTTCTATGCCTGTGAATCCCACAATTTGCTAAGAGATGGAGGAATCTCAGCAACATGACCTGAACACGATGACCCTTGAGAAAGACGATCCCCTCGAGAGCACCAGCCCTCAGATTTCTGTTAGTGAATTTTCTTGCCACTGCTGTTACGACATCCTGATTAACCCCACCACCTTGAACTGTGGGCACAGCTTCTGCCGGCACTGCCTAGCTTTATGGTGGACCTCTTCAAAGAAAACAGAGTGTCCAGAATGCAGAGAAAAATGGGAAGGTTTCCCCAAAGTCAATATTCTCCTCAGGTATGTTCAGTCCATGTTGGTAGCACATACTGCTTGTTCGATATGGTTTCTCTTAGTGGGGCAGCCATGTCTGAAAAACACAGACACACACAGCTGAACTACTGTGGTCATTTTGGATCTGCTGGAATATAAATCAGGGAGCTCAAGGACCTGAAAATCCAAACTCGCTTCCTCATAGGTGACTGTGATTTGTTTATATTTATTATAAATAAAAGAAATTCTCGTTATCAGACCATTGCTTGTAATCCTTTGCCATATAATACTTTTTTAAAAATATTTTTTTATTGATTTCAGAGAGGAAAGGAGGGGGGAGAGAGATAGAAACATCAGTGATGAGCGAGAATCACTGATTGGCTGCCTCCTGCACACCCCCCACTAGGGATCAATCCTGCAACTTGGGCATGTGCCCTGACCGTGAATCAAACTGTGACCTGGTTCACAGGTCATCACTCAACCACTGAGGCACACCAGCCAGGCCATATAATACTTTTTATTGATGTGTATTCAATGAAAACACTCTAGGTCTAATGGGGAAAATGCTATCTATATATATAAAAACCTAAGTGACCGGCCAACCGGCCAGTAGCTATAACGTGCACTGACCACCAGGGGGCAGACGCTCAACGCAGGATCTGCTGAGCAAATTTGCAGAGTGCCCTCTCGCACTCCAGGACCCCTTGGGGAATGTCGGACTGCCAGTTTCAGTCCGATCCCCATAGGCCAGGCCAAGGGACCCCACCGCTGCACAAATCTGTGCACCAGGCCTCTAGTAACTGTATAATTCTGAGTAACTGGTTTGATGCTGACTTTCATAGTCTTTGACTAACCTCTGTGCCAGCTAACACATTAATTGAAGTAGATTCTATTGCATACATAGCATCACACAATAAATGGCAATACACCTTTCAGTTATCAGGTTATTCCATTCATAATGTTTGTAATGTTTAAAGTTCTTTGGGGATGTTGCTTATTATGAGGTCTTTGAGACTAAATTCCTTGTCTCTTCTTCTGTTGTTGTTTTGGTATTAATAGAGTACCAAAAAGTTCCATGAAAACATTAATTCAACTTTCTCCTTTTCACAGGAGGTGTATTTACAAACACTTTGGTCTTGATGGTTGATCTTTTCTCTTACTACTCTACTTCACTTTTTTCTTTTTTTACACATTAAATTTTTTTTTTTTTTTTTTTTTTTGAGAAAGAGATAGAGAAACACTGATTTCTTCCATTTCTTTATGCTTTCATTGGTTGATTGTATGTGCCCTGACCAGGAATCAAACCTGCAAGCAACCTTGGTGTATTGGGACAATGCTCTAATCAACTGAGCTATCTGGCCAGAGCACGAATTAATTTTTAATAACCTAAGCAATACATACATACATTCATTTGTTTACATTCTTTTTAAAATATTAGAGCATTACTGATAAAGCTAAAAATCCCTTTGACCCCGTCTCCATCTTATAATCCTTCCTTCCTTTGTCCCAGAGTAACTTCAGTTATGACTTAGTTGTGATTTCTTTCAGACTTTTAAAAAGATATATATATATATATATCAATAAGAAATGCAAACACTTCCTCATATCAGTGGTATTCTATCTGTATAGTTCTGAAGTTTACTGTTTTCAGCCCTGACCGGTTTGGCTCAGTGGACAGAGCATCAGCCTGCAGACTGAAGGGTCCCAGGTTTGATTCCGGCCAAGGGCATGTACCTTGGTTGCAGGCACATCCCCAGTAGGGGGTGTGCAAGAGGCAACTGATTGATGTTTCTCTCTCATCCATGTTTCTAACTCTCTATCCCTCTCCCTTCCTCTCTGTAAAAAAAAAAAAAAAAAAAAAATCAATTAAAGTTTACTGTTTTCATTCAACACTATGTATGTCTTAAATTTATCCATCTTGATAAACAGTGATATCCAGTAAATTCATTTTTAAAGCTATGTAGTGTTCCATTGTATGAATATACTGTGTTTTATTTAGCTGTTTTCCTAATACAGTGGGGCCTTGACTTACGAGTGTCCCGGCTAACGAGTTTTTTGAGATACCAGCTGTCTCTCGGCCGATTTTTTGCATTGAGTTGATAGAGTAATTTGAGTTAACGAGCTCGGTCTCGGAACGAATTAAACTCGTAAGTCAAGGCCCCACTGTATGTCCCCTAAAAATAGGTCATTTCCCATTTTTTTACTGTTTCAAAGTACTAGAGTACTTGCGTATTATTAAATGTTGGCAGTATTGTTTTGGCTTTTAGACATTGTAAGTATATTTAGCAAAACAACTCTGTTGTGATTTTTTTCTGTTCTCCGTAGGGATGCCATTGAAAAGTTATTTCCTGATGCCGTTAGGATGCGATTGGAAGACGTTCAGCAGAATAATGACATAGTCCAGAGCCTTGCAGCCTTTCAGAAATATGGGAATGATCAGATTTCTTTAGCTCCCAACGCAGGCCGAGTGAATCAGCAGAGAGGAGGGGGATTCTTTTCAGGAGTGCTCTCAGCTTTAACTGGTGTGGCAGTAAGTTTATAACTTTTTCACTGTCCCCACCTCCCAGGGTTTCTACTGAAGTCAGTTCTGTTTAAATAACCTAAATGATTGATGACATAGCTGTTTGTGGTAATTCAGTGCATTCATTGAAATCTGCTGGGTTGTATGAGTCTTTGAGGATGTTGCTTACTCAAGTCGACAACATAATAGTCAGAGCCCAGTAAATGTTAGCTTTCTCTCATTTCATCTTCCTCCCATTTTAGAGATGAGGAAATAGGTGTCAGAACTGGAATATGAGACCATGTCTGCCTTGATAGTGTCCTGAGCACAGCCTTTTACTAACTCCCAATGTAAAGACTATTTCCTTTATTTAAGTTCCTTGCTACAGAAATCTATATGTTATAAATTTTTCAATAGAAAAAGCACATGAGTTAGTCATGTTGGCCAGGTTGATGGGGTCATGTGTTCGATGTTCCCAGGCACCCTGTGAAGAGTCCCTCCCGCTCCTGTCTCTGTTCCCTTACGACCCAACAATTAGCAGAGAGTTGAGCCTGCCAAGAGTTGTGCTCCCCCACTTTCTGGCACTGGCCTTGCCCTGCTTCTGTGTACAGACTTGGCATAATTCCCTTCTAGCTCAGCCTCTCCCCTTCCCTGCCCCACATTCACGTATTTAGGAACTGGCAACTCTAACTTTTCTGTGTCTTAAAATCCCTGTCACTTTTCCCCAGGTGGTCCTGCTCGTGTATCACTGGAGCAGCAGGGAGTCTGAGCATGACCTCCTGGTCCACAAGGCTGTGGCCAAATGGACAGCGGAAGAAGTTGTCCTCTGGCTGGAGCAGCTGGGCCCTTGGGCCTCTCTCTACAGAGACAGGTTTTTAGCCGAAAGAGTAAATGGAAGGTGAGGAGCAAAATCTTTGACACATCACTGACATTTTTTAAAACAGCTTTATTGAGACATATTTACATACCAGAAAATTCACCATCTAAAGTGTTTAGTCAGTGGTTGGGGTTTTTCTGTTTGTTTGTTTTTTTAATATATCTTACTGATTTTTTACAGAGAGGAAAGGAGAGGGATAGAAAGCTAGAAACATCAATCAGCTGCCTCCTGCACACCCCCACCGGGATGTGCCCGCAACCAAGGTACATGCCCTTGACCGGAATCGAACCTGGGACCCCTCAGTCCACAGGCCGATGCTCTATCCACCGAGCCAAAACAGTTAGGGCAGTCAGTGGTTTCTAATGTATTCAAAGATATGATAATGTTCTAGTTTTAGAACATTTTCATCACCCCCAAAAAGAAAGCTCAATCCTTGTTTCCCCCATCACTCTGCCCTATGTACCACCATTCTACTTTGCCTATTCAGAGTATTTCATATAAATGGAATTATATAATATGTGGCCTTTTATGTCTGGCTTTTTCATATCATGTTTTAAGGGTTCATACAAGTTGTAGCATTCATTTTTATGGCTGAATAATATTCCATTATGTAACTACACAACATTTTATTTATCCATTCTTTAGTTGATGGACATTTGGGTTGATTCCAGTCTGGGCCTATTATGAACAATTCCACTGTGATCATTTGTGTACAAGTTTCTGTGTGGATATATATTTCAGTACTCTTGGAGTGCAATTGCTGGGTCATAAGTGTGTGTTTAACTTCTTGAGGAACTGTCAAACTGTTTTAAACTGAAAATACGGTCTACTAAATAGGTCTGTGTCTATATTTACATATTTGTGTACATATACATATAGACAAATGTATGTATATATGCTAGAGCAACGGTTGCCAACTGGTGGTCCTCAGACCACTGATGGTCCGTGAGGTCCAAAAGGTTGGCTGTGCTAGAGTCTATTTAATTGATCTCTACCAAAAAATATTTGGATTATTTCCTTTTTCCTTTTATAGACAGTTTCACACAACATTGTAGCAAGTACCTGGAGGAACACATTAGTATGAGGAACTGATAAGTTGCTCTGAGGAGGCCTGCTTCTGCCCATCAACAAACCCCTGCCCTTCCAGAGCACTGTCCATCTTTGCTGGGATCCCTCCCTTCCTTGGAGGGACAGTGTAGGGATGTTACTTAGAACACCATGCAGTGCTGAGAGGAGCTGCTTGTTTCAGACTTGGAGTCCACTCACTGCCAGGCTGCCTGACTGTCCCACTTCCCACCCCAGTCACTTTCCTCCCTGAACTGAACTTCCAATATTTGACTCTCTTTTGTGGAAACAGAATGCTCCCACTGTAATTGTCTGGGGGATTTTTTGTGTAAAAGTTAGTGTGCCCCTCCCCCAGCCCAGAATTGTGGTTTTAAAAAAAATTCTAGTTAATACAACATATCTTTGCATAACTGCCGTTTCTTCCAGAGGACAGATTCCTAAAACTGGAATTGCTGGATCAAAGGGAGTAAACCTCTGCTACTTAAATATTACCAAATTACCCACAAAAGGACATCAGTGCACAGTCCTCCAACAGTGGTGTGGGGCTCACCTGCCAATGCGCAAGGGAGTTTCTAACAGTGAATCGCTGTGCAGGTGGATTTGTGTTTTCTGATGAAAGGGAATAGATGAGACATCTGCAATTATTTTTATTAAATCACTACCCCGAAACAACTACTTCTAATGTCATAACGTTTTATTGGCTTTCTTCCCAACTTTTTTTCTATGCACACACAATTTTAAAAAACAGAGCAAGCCCTGGCCAGTGTGGCTCAGTTGGTTGGAGCGTCCGTTGTCCCATACACCAGAAAGTGTCAGATTCGATTCCAGGTCAAGGCACATACCCAGGTTGTGGGTTTGATCCCCAGTTGGGGCACCTACAGGAGGCAACCAATCAGTGTTTCTCTCTCACATCGCTGTCTCTCTGTTTCTCTCCCTCTCCCCCCAAGCAAATAAATAAATAAAATTGTCCCACTTTTGATGTTTAGAAAAAAGGAAAAATAAAAAACAGAGTAATATGTGAGAGATCAGAGTGCATAGCTGAAAGATCAAAGGTTAGGAGCAAAGCAGGCCTGGGTGTGGCTTGGGTAGGTCACTTTATTTCTCTGAGCCAGTTTTCTCATCCACAAAATGGGCATAAGGCCACTTACCCTACAGAATTGTTAAATGGATCAGTGATGATTTATGAAAGTATTTTCACATAGTCATTGGCAAATAGTAAGCAGTCAATTGTTTGGTGTTATTAATGGTATTTTACTTATTAGGTATCTTACCTTACCTCAAGGCTAAAGTATTTGTGTTGATACGATGTAACTCTGTGGAAAGTTTCCTTCCAGTACACAACCTCAAAAAAATTCTCCTATCAACCTCTCCACCACAGATTGCTTTTAACTTTAACAGAGGAAGAATTTTCAAGGGCACCGTATACCATAGAAAACAGCAGCCACAGAAGAGCCATCCTCATGGAATTGGAGCGTGTCAAAGCACTAGGCGTGAAGCCCCCCCAAAATCTCTGGGAATATAAGGTGAATTCTTTATTTTTTTTAATTGAAAAAAGTATAGAGAACAACATAAATCACCTGCATGCCCACTGCTTAAAACATCACAGATACGATTGAAGCCCTGCCTCCCACCCTCTCTATAGATCCCACACTCCTACAGCAAAGCACTAGGAGCATTGTTCTATAGGTTTTTAACCTTAACCTAAGAGGCGTGAACTGAGCCTGTCCTTCTGCAAGTGGTATTTATCTCTGTGGCTCCCGTTCATTCGTTTTCTTTGTGGGCAGGTTTCCATTGCACAAGTTTGTGACAATGTATGCATTTTCCTGTTGGTGTACACTGAGATTATTCTCATTTCTGTATTAACTGTATATGTTTATGTGGTATTAACAATTCATGGGCGTGGGGTGGGGGAGTTCATGAAAAATAATGTCTTTTATGGGCTTCTTAAGGGGTAATAATGAAAAAATGTTTGGAAACAATACTTTAGAATAAAGTATCCCCATATATGTCTATGTCTCACCTAAGTTAGGACACAAAGTTATTTTTAGAAGTTAGATTTTTCTAGAAACTATTAGTATGGGAAATTTCAAACATACCCAAAAGCAAGATAAAAAAAAACCTGCCATCTGTCCATACCAGGGCCATGTTTATTTCAATAATACCCCCACCTAAAGATTATTTTGAAAATCTGAGACGATTTACCCCTTAAGGAGCCCTTTATTTATTTATTTATTTTTTCAGGTGATCATCATAGCCAGGTTCTCTTGTCAGGGTCTCCAGCTAGGTTCTGTAGTCAGTTCTCCAGCCAAGTTCTGTCTAAGATCTCCAGCCAGGTTCTGTAGCCATGTTCTCTCACTAGGTTCTCCAGCCAGGTTCGGTCGCCAGGTTCTGTAGCCGGGTTCTTCAGCCAGGTTCTGTCTAGGTTCTCCAACCAAGTTCTGTAGCCAGGCTCTGTCCAGGATCTTTTGCCATGTTCTCTTCAGCGAAGTTCTTCTGTCTCTAGGTTCTGTGTAGTTTCTGTGTCTAGGTTCTGTGTAGGTTCTGTGTCTAGGTTCTGTGTCTAGGTTCTGTGTCTAGGTTCTTCTCTAGGTTCTGTAAGGAGCCCTTTAAAGACTTGACTTGGGGAGTTGAATACACAATACAATATACAGATGATGTAGTATAGAATTGTACGCCTGAAACCTATATAATTTTATTAACCATTATCACTCCAATAAATTCAATTATAAAAGGGGGGAAAAAGAATAAAACAAGATGAAGCCTAAAAAAAAAATAACTAAAATACCACTCTTAGGTTTTACGCCGCTGTAAGGAAAAACCGTGAGTCCAAAAAGAGACCAGATTAAACAGGCTTTATTGGGAGCACACGGGCGGGTTCACCGGCTCAGAGAGGGGAGCCGGAGAAGCCGCGCCCAACCTGGGCAGGGGCAAGGTTTTATACTTTTCTGAGGCAATTGTTGCTGGCCGAAACTGGTGGCAGTCGGGGCTTTCCATGGTCAGGTGAAACCTGCAGTCTGTCCTGTGGTTTGGTCATTTTCCGGAGCCGTTTGTCCGGCAGAGATTTTTCACCGGGGTGGGGTGGTTTCCAGACGTCAGTGTGGACAGGTCAGCTTCTCACTGGCCCAAGAGAGGGAGGGGGTCCTTTCGCCCCGGGGCAGGGTGCCAGCGAATACCAGACATTCCGGACTCTATGATGGGATAAGAGGACGATGTGATCATCTGGAGAGGGAGGTATATGTGAGAGGAGGGTATAGGGGTTGGGGACGACTGGAGAGATAGGGATTACAGCCGAATTGATTATGCAGAGGTCCTGAACCAGTCTATACTGCCCGTTGGGTTTTTTAACTGGGAGGATGGGGGAGTTACAGGGGGAGTTGATGGGAATGAGGAGCCCCTGGGTTTTTAGCTTGGTGATTATGGGGCTAAGTCCCATCCGGTGAGTGCGAGAGATGGGGAACTGGGGGCGGTTAGGATAGGAATGAGGAATTTTCAGTTTTACAAGGGCTGGTATATGATGCCTGGCCACAGAGGGAGTTTCAGTATTCCAGACCCCAGGGTTTACTTCGGGTAGAAGAGGGTGTGAAGGAGGGGAGGGGGCGTCGGACATATAGTCCAGGAGAACAGCTATGAGGGGGTGGTCCGAGGAGGAGAAGGTTATGGATGCGTGGAGTTTAGTTAAAATATCCCGCCCCAGTAGGGGGACAGGGCAAGTTGGGATAATGAGGAAGGAGTGTGAAAAAAGGCGGTCTTGGAACTGGCAGGCTAAAGGAGTTGTTTGCCTGGGGGTTGAGGGGGGCCCATCTATCCCCGTAACTGAGATCTGGGAAGGAATACTAAGGCCCAAATGAGAGGGGAGGACCGAGTAGGTAGCCCCCGTGTCTACCAAAAAGGAGATAGACTTACCCGCTACCTGGAGAACTACCCTGGGCTTGGCGAGGGTCACCGGAGTCGTGGAGCCAGGGCTACTTCATTCGTCCGCCAGCCCGAGGAGCTCCATTGCTGGGTATACCTGGTTCTCAAGCCCCCCACATGGAGATGTAGAGGGCCGAGCCAGGGTCGGACAGTCCGACTTCCAGTGCCCAGAGCGTTTGCACAGAGGACAGGGCTTTGTTGGCGGCCGGGGCTGGGGGCACGATTTAGCCCAGTGGCCTTCTTTACCACATTTGAAGCATGCCCCTGGTGGGGATCGGAACCCACCCTTTGAGGGCTGGCGCCGACCCGGTTCCCCTGCCGGCCGCAGAGCCGCCACCAGAGCCTGGGTCTGAAGGGATACCTTCTCACGGAGCCGCTCCTGTCGGGCGGCTTCTGCCGTCTCCTCCCGGGCATTAAAGACTTTAAAGGCCATTTTTACCAGGTCCTGTATGGGGGTTTCAGGGCCCTCCTCAACCTTTTTGAGTTTCTTTCTGATATCGGGAGCAGATTGGGAAATAAAGTGTGAGGCCAGGACAGTAGCCCCATTGGAGGAGCTAGGGTCAAGACGGGTGAATTTTATGAGGGCTTCTTGAAGGCGGTTAAGAAAAAGGGCAGGGTTTTCATTAGCTTGTTGGGTGATTTCTCTTAATTTATCATAGTTTACTACTTTATTGGAGACAGCATCCATCCCTCTGAGGAGGTATCTTAGCAGGGTGTTACGGTTAGGGATGTTAGAGCCTTGCCCAGTCTGGTAATTCCATAAAGGATCCTCCCGGGGAACAGCCTGCTCTCCTATGGGGACAGTGGGATCTACTTCATGGTCCCGGTCAGCCTGGTGTCGAGCCGCGGCGATGGTACGTTCGCGCTCATCCGGGGTGAGGGAGGATGAAAGGAGGACATGTACATCATGCCAGGTTAAATCATATGTCTGAGTTAAGTATCGAAATTCTTTTATATATGAGGTTGGATCAGCTGAGAACGATCCTAGGCGTTTCTCAATTTGGGAGAGATCTTGGAGTGAGAAGGGGACATGAACCCGGACCAGACCTTCGGCCCCCACTACCTCGCGGAGGGGGCAAAGAGGGGCCGGGGTTGAAGAATGTGAGCGGGTATGAGAGGCAACCGGAGAGGAGAGCGAGGACGGTTGAGGTTCGGGTTCCTGAGCCGGGGATTCCGGGGGAGGAGAAGGGACAGAGCGGGTTTCGGGGACGACAGGAGAAGTCGGGGGACGACCGGCTCGGTCAGGGGGACGGTAAGGAGGAGGAGAGGAGAGGAGGTCAATGAGGTACGGGTTGAACAGGGAGAACAGAGGTCGGGGTGGGAACGTATGTCCCAAAAAGCCTGGACGTAGGGGACCTCAGAATCTTTGCCCGTGCGCCGGCAGTAATTATCTAAGTCTGTTAGAACATTAAAGTCAAAGGTGCCAGTTGGGGGCCAGCGGGACTGGTTATCTAGAGGATATTGAGGCCATTGTTGTTGTGAGAGAGAAATTAAGCGTTTGGCCTTGAGTGTCTGAGTGTACCCCAATTTGGAAAAATTTTTAAGGAGACACCCTAGAGGTGTCTTAGGATCCGGTCTGGACTCTGAGACTCCCATAGTTGAGGGGTTTCCCGCTCCCCGAGATTAGAGACAAAGCACCAAGGGAGGCGTCCCACCGATTGGTACAGAGTCCCGGTTCTGGGTTGGGGTCTGAAGAGGACCAAGGACGTCTCCTTTGTCCTCAAAGAGACCGGACAGTGGCCCTCTGAGGGCGGAGGAGTTCTCTCGGCACGGCCGCGACTTAGGACGAGAGGCTCCGGACGGATCTCGGAGAGCAGGAAGGAAAGGGAGGGAGGTTTCCCGTGTGACTTACTGGAGATGGAGTCCGGGGGAAGTCCAGGCCGAGGTCCGGGGCGGCAGACCGGGGAAGTGAGCTGGACCTGCCAATCGACTCGGACCCCGGCACCTCAGAGTCTGGGAGTTAGCCCGGGCGAGCTGCCGCTGCCCACTGCTTCCCAGGTCGTAAGAGGAGACCGGGGCGAGGATCGTCCGAGTCCGAGACCCACTCCCGGGTTTCGGCACCAAATCTTAGGTTTTACGCCACCGCAAGGAAAAACCGTGAGTCCAAAAAGAGACCAGATTAAACAGGCTTTATTGGGAGCACACGGGCGGGTTCACCGGCTCAGAGAGGGGAGCCGGAGAAGCTGCGCCCAACCTGGGCAGGGGCAAGGTTTTATACTTTTCTGAGGCAATTGTTGCTGGCCGAAACTGGTGGCAGTCGGGGCTTTCCACGGTCAGGTGAAACCTGCAGTCTGTCCTGCGGTTTGGTCATTTTCCGGAGCCGTTTGTCCGGCAGAGATTTTTCACCGGGGTGGGGTGGTTTCCAGACGTCAGTGTGGACAGGTCAGCTTCTCACTGGCCCAAGAGAGGGAGGGGGTCCTTTCGCCCCGGGGCAGGGTGCCAGCGAATACCAGACAACCACCATTGTACCCCCTAAAATAATTCTCTATATATTATCACTTGTCAGTATTCAAACATCCCACATCATTTTTTCCCCCAGTAGATTTGTTCCAAACAGGATCCAAACAAAGTCCACTTTTGGTTGTTATGTCTCCTAAGTCTCTTAGTCTATAGGTCCTCCTCCTTGTTTTTGTTACTCTGTATTTATTTGTTGAAGAAACCAAATAACTTGTCCTGTAGTTTTCCCACATCTTGAATTTTGCTGGTTGTCTTTCTGTGTTGTCACCCAATAGGTTCCTTTGTCCCTTACATATCCTGTACTCTAGTAGTTTGATCTAGAACAGCAGTTCTCAACCTGTGAGTCGCAACCCCTTTAGGGGTCGAACGACCCTTTCACAGGGGTCGCCTAAGACCATCAGAAAACACATATATAATTACATATTGTTTTTGTGATTAATCACTATGCTTTAATTATGTTCAATTTGTAACAATGAAATTGGGGGTCACCACAACATGAGGAACTGTATTAAAGGGTCATGGCATTAGGAAGGTTGAGAACCACTGATCTAGAGCTTGCTTTGGTTTCAGTTTCATATTTGGCAAGACTACCTCATAGGTAATGGTGTTTTCTTCCATTAAGAGGCATGTATGTATGTATGTGTGTGTGTGTGTGTGTGTGTATGTATGTGTGTATATATATATATATAAATAAATGCAAAATGACCGGACAGCGGAACGACCGGTTGCTATGACATGCTTTGACCACCAGGGGGCAGACCCTTAAAGCAGAAGCTGCCCCCACCCCACAGGCCCTGATTGCCTGATTGGGGCCTGCCAGCCAACCTCTCAGTCTCTCCCCCACAGCCAGCAGGCTCCGAACGCCTGAGGGGGAACAGGGAACCAGGGGTGGGTGGCAGTGGACGTGGGTGGCGCCAGGCCAAGGTGGGTGCAAGTGAGCGGGGCCCAGATCACCCTACCAGTTGCCCCACACACAGAGGACGACTGGTAGCGGGGGGAGGGGCCAGATGCTGGCAGCTGCAGAAGATCAGCCCTGATCGCAGGCCAGGCCTAGGGACCCTACCCATGCACAAATTTCGTGCATCGGGCCTCTAATAATGTTTATAATGTTCAGTTGTCTCTTTTCTATGGTTACAGCCACTGTGACCATTGATTGTTTAGAATTCAGGGGTCCTCAAACTTTTTAAACAGGGGGCCAGTTCACTGTCCCTCAGACCGTTGGAGGGCCAGACTATAGTTTAAAAAAAAACTATGAACAAATTCCTATGCACACTGCACATATCTTATTTTGAAGTAAAAAAACAAAACGGGAACAAATACAATATTTGTATTTGCATGTGGCCCGCAGGCCGTAGTTTGAGGACCCCTGGTTTAGATTCATTGTTCATTAAGGGTTGCAAAATGGCGATACCGTAATTCTCTCATTTCTTCTTCTTTTTTAATCCTCATTAAGGATATCATTTTATTGATTTTTTTTTTTTTTTGAGGGAGAGAGAGAGAGAGATTCGTTGCCCCGACTGGGACTGAACCAGCAACCTACGTATGTCCCTAACCAGGAATCAAACTGAAACCTTTTGTTGTATGGGACGAAGTACCAACCAACTGAGCCACCTGGCCAGAGCTCATTTTTCTTCATTTGTTAGCTGAAATACATCTGGAAAAAAAAGCGGGGGGGGGGGGGGGGGGGGGATTTCCCTCAACAACCATTTTGATTACCCTAAGAACAGTTTAGACCAGAAAGTCAGATTAAGTGTTTGATTCTTTCCCTTTATTTAGCAGTTTCAGAAGAATGATTTGACTCCCTATTAATCTCCAAGGTGACCAATTTCTTTCTTTAGGAGCATTAACTGAAGATTTTAACATTCTTGATATGTTTGAATACATGTCAGTAATTATACTAATTGATGCTCATATTGTTCCATCTTTTTTGAGGAGAAGGCTCCTCAAATTATTTTCTGAGTTTGTTTTTTAAATTTAACTTTTGAATTGAAGAATAATGTGCTTGCTAGTGAATCCTTTTAACATGACCTCATTAGTCTTTGATACTTTTCCTTTCTCACTGGCAAGATGTTCAAGTTACTCTTGTACCTTTCCGTACCCAAATCTGGAATCAGCCATTTCACAAGTTGTTCCTTTTTAAAGTAACCTTTTATTATAGAAAACTTTATGTATAAACAAAAATAGAGGGAAGAGTTTATTCATATGCAAATTCAACATGTATTGACTCATGGGTATTCTTATTTCATCTGTCCCCCCTCACACCCTCCCCACACCCCTAATCCTGAGAATTTATTAAAGCACTAGAGGCCCAGTGCATGAATTTATACACAGGTAGAGTCCCTTGACCTAGCTGGCAATCAGGGCCTCTTGGTGGGGGATGAGGGGGTCGCGGGAGGTTGGCTGTGGGAGCGCACTGACCACCAGGGGACAGCTCCTGCATTGAGCATCTGCCCCCTGGTGGTCAGTGCACATCATGATGACTGGTCGACCGAGTGTTAATATGCTTATTTGCCATCCTTACATTTTCTTTGGTGATGTGTCCATTCATATCTTTTGCCCGTTTTGTTTGATTCTTAGTAGCATAAAGTAAGTTGAATTATTTTAGTTACTTTTACAATCAGGAAAAATATGAGTACACTTCATTGTAGCAAAGTTTACAAAAGTAAATAAAATGAAAATAAATTGCCACAATCCTGAGATTCAGACAGAGTTAACATTGCATTTTGCTCTGTTTTATTCTAGAAAATTTTCTGTGCATAATTTAAACAGTTCTTTTGTGTGTATTCATTCCGCAAATGTTTATTGACAAGTGGTGTGACCCAGGTGCTCCACTAGGAAAAGGATCTCAGCCCTGAACAAGGCCTTGCTTTCATGGTGCAGATACCATTGAGATCAGATTGCTACACATCTTTGAATATTTTTTTCACCTAACATTGTTCATGAGCATTCTCCAAAACTTTTCATATTCATTTTTCAATGGTTAAATATCTACTGGAACTTTATTACTTAGGTTGCATATTTTATTTTTTCTCTGTCATACACAATGCAATGCTAAGCATTCTGTACATAAGACCTTCTTCACTTCAGACTATGTTTGTTAAGTAGTGCCTACTAATAAATTGGTTAAATTAAAACATTTTTAAGAGTGATGCACTTTGCCCTGGCCAGTTTGGCTTAGTGGATACAGCATCGGCCTGAAGACTGAAGGGTCCCAGGTTCGATTCCCGTCAAGGGTACTTGCCCAGGTTGCCGACTCAATCCCCTGTAGGGGGCGTGTGGGAGGCAGCCGATCCATGATTCTCTCTAATCATTGATGTTTCTATCTTTCTCTCTTCCTCTTCCTTCCTCTCTGAAATCAATTAAAAAAAAATTTTTTTTTTAAAAGAGTGATGCACTTTGGCCCTTGCTCTTTGGCTCAGTAGATAGAGGGACAGCCTGTGGACTGAAGGGTCTCAGGTTCAATTCCGGTCAAGGGCACATGCCCAGGTTGTGCGCTTATTTTCCAGTAGGGGACGTGCAAGAGGCAGCTGACCAATGATTCTCTCTCATCATGGATGTTTCTATCTCTCTCTCTATCTCCCTTCCTCTCTGAAATCAATAAAATATATATATTTTTTAAAAGAGTGATACATTTTGCAGAATTGCTTTCTAAAAAGGTTGTGTTCTACTAGTAGTGCCTCGGAGTATGCTTCTCATCCCCCCTCCCTTCCCTAGCTGTGGAGAGAGGTTGGGTCTTTATATAACGTAGCCTCTTCTCTCCATTCATTCATTCATTGTTTATGCAAACCACGCAAAAAATGGCTGATGGCAAGGGGCGTGAGGTTGCAGACAGAGCATAGGTGGGGACTGGCTGCCATGGTTGTACCATGACCTTGTGCTCACTATTTTCTGCAGGCTGTGAACCCAGGCAGGTCCCTGTTCCTGCTGTATGCCCTCAGGAGTTCCCCCAGACTTGGTCTGCTGTACCTCTACCTGTTTGACTACACAGACACCTTCCTACCCTTCATCCACACCATCTGTCCTCTGCAAGAAGACAGCTCTGAGGAGGACATCTTCACCAAACTTCTGGTAGGTCTGCAGTGCCTTGAATGAAATTATTCCACCATTTCTCAGTGTGGTGCAGAACTGGAGACATGGCTGTAGCTTGTCATGAAGAGTTAACAACTTCAGCTTTCATTTGGATTTTGCAAGGAGATCCCCTGCAAAAGAAAACAAAGAAGGGGCTTTTGCCCTGGCTGGTTTGGCTAAGTGGTGGGAGCATAAGCCCATGAGAACCAAAGGGTCGAGGGCTCGATTCCCAGACAAGGGCACCTTCGTTGCAGGCTTGATCCAGGGTCAGGGTGCCTGCGGGACAACCGATAGATGTGTCTCTCTCAGATCGATGTTTTCTCTCTCTCTCTCCTCCACATCCCCCCCCCACTCTCTCTAAAAAATTAATGCAAAAAGTGACTTTGGGTGAGCATTTTTTAAAAAGGACCTTTTCCACCCCAAGAAGCCTATTTTGTTTCCCATATTGCATAGCAAGAGGGGCTACCCTCTGGACTTGAAATGTTTAGCGGGGAAAACCAGCATTTCTTTTATTATACAAGATAGGATAGGTCCAGATTGCCCGAGGGTTAGATTTGTGAGTCTGCTAGCTTGGGAATCTGTCTTTCAATAGGATCCCCAAAGGATGAATGATTACTTGTGTTACCACAGACAGGGGTAGTATTTGTCCTATTGGCCATAACAGTAAGGCAGCGTCCAGCTCACTGATAGGAGTCCTCTTTTAACCTGAAATGGTTGCCCATCATGGCTCTTGTTTCTTCAGCTTGACCCATGGATCCTTCAGAGTTATTGGTGGATCCCATTGACTACGTGATTTCTTCTGTCTAGTTGGTTTTTTGAGGGTATATTGTCCTTTGCATTGCTGCTCTTGGGGAAATCCCTCTGATCTGTTTACATCAAAAAGTCACATGGATATAGGAATTGTCATTTATGATCCACACCCACAAATGTTGAAATAGAATTCCTAAATCTCCTAATATCCTTTTTAAAACATTTTAGGCAAGTCTCCTACCTGACTTCAGCCTTGGATATCGTTCAAAGCCTGCTGATGAGCCCCTTTGCACAATGTTTCTCCATCCACTTTCCAGCTGTTACCTGCCCTTGCTGGACTGGAGCTTAGAAACCCATCTGACCTTTCCATTTTAACAACCCCCGGCAACCCCTGCCTGTGCATCAGGCTAACTTGTTTCTTGGAATACTCATTGCACAGTCTTACTGAACTTCCATTAACTTCTGGATGCCTATGAATTAGTTAAATACTTTTGTTAATTATCTGCTAATATCTGTAATCAAAGTTTTTATTTTCCCAAAAATTATTTTTCCAAGGTTTGTGTTAAATTTTTCCATGACTTGTTAACTTTCTACCACAGCTAAGATGTTGAATTTAGGAAACTGAGGTACACATGCAGTGATGATGAAATTATAAAACTGGTTAATTTCAATTTATATCAACCCCATTTTTTATAACTCACGATTAGAATTTTTTTGCTTCTGAACTTCTAGAATTATGTAACAAGCATCTCAGTTCAACCTCTTTGGTAATATTTAGGCAATGTAAGATTAATTATTACAAGGTGAGTTGATGGAAATTTCATTTTAGATGGTTTGGGTGTGTGTGTGTGTGTGTGTGTGTGTGTGTGTGTGTTTTAATAAATGTAAAACTCACTGGAATAACTACAATATTATATTTTGTATAAACGTCAATCTTCATAATTTTTTGTATTTTTATTTGTGTGTTATTTTTAAAGGATCTTAGAGAGCCCACATGGAAGCAGTGGAGAGAATTCCTTGTCAAATACTCCTTCCTTCCGTACCAGCTGATTGCTGAATTTGCTTGGGACTGGCTGGAAGTCCATTATTGGACGTCTCGGTTTCTCATCGTCAATGCCATGTTACTGTCGGTTCTGGAATTATTCTCCTTTTGGAGGATCTGGTCAAGAAGTGAACTGAAGTAAGTGTGTTTTTATATTGGATATGGTTGGAGCACTGGGGACTGGAAAAGATGTCTAAAGTATTAGACACAAAGACTCCTCGTGTTCTGGTTTTGAAACACCTACTTAAGCAGCAAATAGGAAAAGTTACTTTGTGGTAGCAGGGTGGAGAGGTTTTCATGGTGCTCATTGTTAAAGTGTTTCTCCATATATCTTATCCCATGTACCCTACCATATAATTCCTGGGAGTGGAGGCTGTACATGAAAGATTTTAATAATTAGGGGATAAACAAGTGGGAAAATGAAGGTGCTTTATTAAAAAAAACAATTATCGTAAAGCATAAAGAGATCTGGTGAGAAATCCTGTGGGCATGAGTTCTAATCCTGCTCTGCTGCCACTGGAACAGTAATAAGGGCTTTGGATTAATGCGTAAAATGAGAATTGGACTAGATGGTCACTGACTTAGTACTCTTGGTTGCAAGTGAAGTGACAGAAACCAATCTAAATTGGCTTTCCTAAAAAGCGAAATACCCAGTTAAGGCTTCCCACATAGCTGAATGCAGAGACCTAAATGCTACCATCCGAACCCACTGTCTCCCTTTTGCAACGCTGCTCTTTCCTGTTCAGCCTTAGGCAGCTCTCTTTAAGTGGGGGCCTTGGGTCACTCCAGCTGTAGATGGGAGCAGCTTAGCACCTTGTGGAAGGAGAGCACTTCTTTCCCTATAGTACTCATGAGTCTCAGGGCTCACGTGCCTTTACTCTGATTGGCCCAGCCTGGGTCACGTGCTCACCTGAACCCATCACTTGGTGCAGGGGTATATGGGGCTCTCCTTGTCCAGGCTCAGAGCATGTACTCATCTCCCCAGCAGGGGCTTCAGCCACACCCAGACCACATGGAAAAGAATACGGGAGGGAGGCACCCCAAAGGAAAACAGAAGGTGTTGTTAGAAGAAGGGAATGGCTGCTTGTCAGACAGAAGTAACATTACCACAGTACCCTTGAACTCTGAAATGCCCTCTATAACTCACAAGTCTTGGCTTCATCAATAAGGAGCAGCCTTATAAATAATTCTGAGAACCTGATAAGAATCTCCCTCATTTATTTCAATTCAGTGAACTCCTTTCTTCATGTACAGTTAATTGAGCCCCTTCTCTGCCCCTGGCTTTCTTCTCGGCACTGCAGATTTTTTGGTAACGAAGACAGTCTTTACTCTGAAAGTCTACAGCCTCACAGAGAAAATATGTATATTAAATATATACAAATGAGACACAGCGATGAAGCAGGTGGAGTTGGGGCTGAAATGGGGATGCCTGACCTGGTGTAGATAGTGCCCTGGGGAAGCACCGTCTAGAGCAGGGGTGGGCAAACTTTTTGACTCGAGGGCCACAATGGGTTCTTAAACTGGACCGGAGGGCCGGAACAAAAGCATGGATGGAGTGTTTGTGTGAACTAATATAAATTCAAAGTAAACATCATTACATAAAAGGGTACGGTCTCTAGACTCTCTAGACTGTGTCCTGGGAGTTGAAGATGGATTAGTCAGGCAACGCTGTGTCTCAGGCAGTGAGGACAGAAAACAAGGTCTCTGCAGCCAGGCCACCTGACTCTGCACTAGGAGACAACCAAAGCCTGAGCACTGTGGTGTTGTCTTTAGAATTGCCAGCACTATTCCACCTCTCAAATGCTTCCCTTCTCTTTCAGGACTGTGCCTCAGAGGATGTGGAGCCATTTTTGGAAAGTATCAACACAGGGGCTTTTTGTGGCCATGTTCTGGCCCCTCATTCCTCAGTTTGTTTGCAACTGTTTATTTTACTGGGCCCTGTACTTTAACCCAATTATTAACATTGATCTTGTGGTCAAGGAAGTCCGACGGCTGGAAACCCAAGTTTTTTGAGTGGCACTGCCCACGCTCTGAGGGACTCCTCCAGCCTCCCTGACGTCTGAGCTTTGATGCTTGAGTGAAGAGGGGTTGGGAGTGCACAACTTCCTATTTTCTTTCCCTAGTAAACAAGGTGCTGCTTTCTCTGTCAAAGCCTACAACCAGGTCCTCTCTCCCTCTGCCTTGGTCATTGTGGCAGCAGGGACTGACATCCCAGAGCCAGGCCGGCACAGCAGCACCTCCCACCTACCCTCCTTGCTCACAGGAACTTGGGAGGCCCCGTCCACTACAGCTTGCAAGGAACCAGGGTCCTCAGAGGATGTGGTGTGGGCGACATCAGAAGGCTGCCACATCAGCAGTCCTAACCTCAGTGACTGACAAAAGCTCCCAGGGCAAGTTGGAGTTCTGAGACTCAGCCCAAGATCCGGCTTATTGGGGCCAGGCCTGTCCTCTAAGTCAAGTTTAGGAAAATGGGAGAAGACTTTGTCATAGGCATAGACAGTTGCACTCAAAAAAATACAGAGGAAAAACCAAAATTCAGTAGACAATTGTTTTATTGAAGAGTTGCTAAGAAGTTGAAGAGTTAAATATCTAAAAGATGCAGTTTGAGACTAGAATGATGGTTACACTCACCCTGTTTCTACTAATCATTGAAAGTTTGGATCCCTTTCTCTGAATGGGGGGATTGAGTGGGATGTCAGGGTAACAGAGGTGGGTATCAGGCTGTGCTGCCTCAGTGCCACTTAGAATTGCCTTGGCACTGGCCAGGTGGCTCGGTTGGAACGTCATCCTGTTCATCAGAAGGTTGCAGATTCAAGTCCCAGTCTGGGCCTGTACAGGAGGCAACCAATCAATGTTTTGCTCACATTGATGTTTCTCTCCCTTCTCTAAAATCAGTTTAAAAAAAATTTTTTTAAAAGCATATCCTTGGGTGAGGATTTAAAAAATGGTTTTGTTTTGGGGTTTGCTTTGTTTTGGATAATTTAACCCAAAATCCAGGAGAGTCCTTTTGTTTAATGAAGCATTTTACACATTGACCTCACACTGTATAATCTCTATCATCTTGTTTTGATGTATAAAACAGCAAGTGTAATTACACCAAGTGCTGTAATTGTAAATATGAATGAGATAAACTATGCCTCTTATTTCATTCTAATATGATCCATGATGGGCCTCGCAGAGATAAATTTGCATCCAAAGGGTTTCTTTGTGACTCCATGAAACATTCATTAATACTTTGTATCTTTGAAGATTTCACTCAAACTTTGCATCTGAAAGTTTAAAAAATGAGTTGAAATAAAAATAAAATATTTTTTATAAAGACAAAACTTCTGTAGAAAAAAATTGTTTAGAAAACATGAAGATCTGAATTGCTCAATACAACCTACTAGTCATGCTGACGTCTCCCTGCCTGATGGGAACATTGAGCCAAGGACTCACCCTAAAGTATCTTAAGTGAAAGGAAAGTGTTTTCTTCCTCCTGTGTTTGCTCATCAGGCCCCAGGATTCCCTGACTTTACCTGCTTAACACCCATGGCTTGCCAGAGACACGCGGCACTGCAAGCTTGGGGACAGTGCAGGATTTTCACATCCCTGGTCTCCTGCCTTGAGGGGTTACTATTTTTTCCAGATAAAGAGATGGATGGAGACTGGGTGGCACTAGTGGAGCAGGACCCAGGCTGGACTACAGATTGCCAGACTCCTAGACCAGTGTCCCCTACCCACTCCCCATATTCTGCTTCAAAGAGGGTGCCATCCACATCTGTTCAGGGGAGAGCAAAGGAGACCTGGCCTAGAGCAAATGGGCTGGGCTGGACTGTCACTAATTGTCAGCAGGAAGGACAAGTACTTCAGAGCCAGGGCCACAGCTGCCTCTCCTCCCTCAGACCTTCTCAATCAGCAGGTTTACATGCATCAACAGAGGGTGTCCATTTAAAATATTCAGACCCTTTGATGTAAGAATTCCATTTCTGCAAATCTGAGTTAAGGGATAATGAAAAGGGGCAGTGGGATTTGGCGGATTTATTCAAAGAATCGCCAACACATGAATAATTGCTCAAAATAGGAAATCACCAATACTCTAAAGTTAGCAATTTATAAACTGGTACGTAATACCTATTTAAAATGGGATTTTCAGCCCTGGCCAGTTTTGTTCTGTGGTTAGAGCGTTGGCCTGTGACTGAAGGGTTGTGGGTTCGATCCTGGTCAAGGGCACATAACTCAGTTGCAAGCTTGATCCCCAACACATGTGGGAGGCAACCAATCAATGTGTCTTTCACATCGATGTTTTTCTGTGTCTCTCCCCCTCCCTTCCATTCTCTAAAAAATCAATGGGGGAAAAAATACTTTCTCGGGTGAAATTAACAACAAAAATGGAGTTCCCAAATATTTTTTAATGACATGGAAAAAAGCTTATGAAAAACAAGAGTTTTAACTACATTTTAAAGAACAGTTTTGCTGATTTTTAGAGAGAGGAAGGGAGAGAGAAACAGAGATCAAGCCCACAACCTGGGGATGTGCTCTGACCAGGAATTGAACCAGCAAATTTCCATGCATGGAATGATCCCCAACTAACTGAGCCACACCAGCCAGGACTCAACTACAGTTTTTTAAATTACAGAAAAGACTGATGGACAACCAACTAAAATGCTAAAAGTGGTTATTACGGTTTGTGGGAAATGGGATCATTTCTTTTCTCCTTTATATTTCTCTGCATTTGCCTTTTTAAAAAAGCAGTGAGTATATAATACTTTTGTAATCAGAAAATAAATTTTAGTAAAGGTGTAGGATGGTCCTGGTTGGTTGCTCAGTGGTTAGAGTGTTGGTCTGTGACTAAAAGGTCCTGGGTTTGATTCCCAGTCAAGGGCATGTACCTTGTACCTTGGTTGCAAGTTCCCCGGCACTGGTAGAAGCCCATGTAGGAGACAGCCAATTAATGTGTCTCTCATGTCAATGTTTCTCTCTCCACCTCCTCCCTCCCACTCTCTCTAGAAATCAATGCGGGGGGGCGGGGGGTGGGGGGGAAATACCCTCAGGTGAGTATTTTTTTAAAAAAGGTGGAGTAGGATGGGCAAGAATACTCTTTCTTGAGCTAACAATTACTAGACCTGAACTTCACAAGGGTGGATGGTGTCATGTGGTCATCTTATTTATTGCCTCAACCCAGGACTTAGAACAAGGCCAGGCACTCAGCAGGTGTTTGTTCATCGAGAGCAGGTTAGAAGACAAGCTCAGCCTTTTCATAAAGGTCGAACCTCAAACATGGTACCAGACCCAATACAGTCACAAACACCGTCATGGGTTTGTAAATAGGCATGGGGCTTTGACCTTAGTCAAACTGGCAACCAAACAGGCTCCAGCCCCAGGTTTGGAGAGGGAGGGAGAACAAACAACAAGTTGCAGCTTTAACACTTTAACTCAGTTCCCCTCTGAATATGGCTGTTGGTTAGTGAAAAAGGTTTTATTTCCTTGTACAATAACATTTCAAGTCAAACTAGTCAGTCACATTTGAGCGGGTCGTGCCCACATAAGAAACGTGGATAGAAGAGGTACTTTAAATGGTACTCGTTTTCGGCTAAGCAGTAAGCAAGCTCCTGGTCACACTTGCACAAGAGTTCTTGACATTCATCCTCTGCCGGTCCTGGAAGAAATGGGGAAACTGAGGTGAGAGCAGGAGCTTGCAGAGACTTGAGGATAAACAGGAGGGAAACCGGTAACACTGTTGGCAGTAAGGGTCATAAATTGCATGTGAGTGACACTTGACAATTCACTATGTGATCTCCAGCCTTAGGGCAACTCCAGGAGGGAGGTGATACTGGCCCCATCTTGCTGAAAAGGAAATTGAAGTTGTCAGAGAAGTGTTTTGAGGTGCTGTGTCCAAAGTCCCTTTGACCTTCTAGCTTCTCTTTCGTATCAATATTACACAATTTCATTTGAGGATCCATTGAGACTAGCAGTAGGGAACCATCCAGGCCTTTTGGGGGGGGGAATGCCTGCTCTGCTGCTTCCTAGCTGTGTGATCTTGCCTAAATGAGTCAAGTCCTCATTTAAATGGGGCATTATCCACTTGGCAGGATTACTGGGAAGCCTGGATGAGGAAGCCTGCCCAGGAGAGACTTGGCACTGAACCTGCACTCAATCAACGTAGCATGTAGTAGATATGTGCCTATAGACACATCAATTCACCCTCCCTAGGCTGTTTCCTCAAGTGCAACACAGGGATACTAATAGCACCTACTCCTAAGGGCTATTGGAAGAATGGGAAGAGACCAAATCAGTAAAATGCAGGGGATATGGGAGGCACTAGTAAGCTGAAGCTGACCTGCTAAAGTTGCCAGCTAATCTGACCCTTCAATATAAAAGAATATCCCCACCTTGTATCCCTGCTTTTTTATTGAGGAAAAATTCCCCTATCAAAATTTACCATTAGAAAGTGCACAAATCGGTGGGGCTTAGTGCATTCATAATATTGGGTAACCATCACCTCTATCTAGTTCCAAAACATTTCTATCACCCCAAAGAGATCTTGTACACATTAAGATGTTGCTCCCCAATGCCCCTCTCCTGAGTCTTCAACCATTAATCAGCCTTCTGTCCCTATAGATTTGCCTATTCTGGATATTTTATACACTTGGAATCATATAGCACATGACCTTTTGTGTCTGTCGTCTTGCACTTAGCTCCTTGCATCACATTTTCAAGGTTCATCCATGTTGTAGCAGGTAAGTACTTCATTTTCTGGCACAGGAGTTATAAAAGCACTTGGCACAGAGACAATTTCCCATTCTCCTCCTTTTAGACTTCTCTGTCTCCTTTATTTTTTATGTTTTTATTAATTTCAGAGAGAGAAACATCAATGATGAAAGAGAATCATTAATTGGCCTCTTCCTGCACACCCATTACTGGGGATCGAGCCCAAAACCCCGGCATATGCCCTGACCGGGAACAAACCATGACCTCCTGATTCATGGGTCAACATTCAACCACTGAGCCACACCAGCTGGGCTACACTTCTCTGTCTTACCTAAAACCTAACATAGGGGCTGGCACAGAGTAGATTCTCAATAATATTTGTTGAGAGAATATGAAAAAGCCATACATCATTTCCAATTCTCACACAAACACTGCAATTAATTTTTACTATTTCCATTTTATGGATGTGTAAAGTGAGGCTCAGTGGAATTCAGTAACTTGTCCAAGGACACAGAGCTGGGAAAGGGTGGACCAGGACTCCAGCCCACGATCTCCTGATCCAGTGCCTGAAGCCGGTCCATCCTTGTTGCTTGACACAGTCGCTGCAGGGAAGAAACATCTGCACAGCGTATGTTTCAAGGGACCTGGCATACTGTTCTTAATATGTTTGCTCCCCTTCTTAGCGCTATGTGTTCTAACCAGGGCCACCTCCCCGGAGAAAGGTTGTTTCCCCAGGTGGGGATATTTCCCTGGAGTTAGGAATTAACAAGACTAAGGAAGGGAATGAATCAGTAAAACCCCCTAGTGTTACAAAATACCATGTACTACTTATGAAGATCTTGGACTAAAACTGTTGGCAGTAAATTTGGGACTTGTTGGGCCCACATCCCCAGGGGTCTGCCCACAAGGGAAAGCACCAAAGCCTATACCCCTGGAGACCCACCGACACAGGACAGTCCCAGGGAAGGCAAGCAGCGGGGCTGGGAGGACATAACTTTTACTGGGTAGGATAATCTTCTTCAGTCACTTCCTTGTAGCTTATCAGTAGAGCAGTAGAATAGTGATCTTGGAATAGCCCTTATAATGGAACACAGAGATTAACCTAGGAAAGATTAAAATCAACAGAACTAGATAGAGACAGGATTTTTGGCAAAGGTCAGATAAGAAACTATGGACATGAAACCAGGAACTATAGAAGGCCAAGGGAGGACCCAAAACATACCATTATGTCATGCTTATAAATACAGTTGTAACAGGACAATAAAGGAGAGAATAAAGAGAGAACCTGGCTATGCTGATCAACTGAACGCTGTCTCCATGTCATTCCTTCTTCGCCGACTCCATCCACACCTTTGGGAACCCCTGGACCTGCTGGGGCTGGACCCCAACAATTCAGCACCTGTACCTCCCTTCTGTTCCCACCCTCACCTCTGAGCAAGAAAGATTCTTTCAAAAGCAAGACTTGGTCTCACTGCTCCATAGCCTCAGGAACCTAACAGCATCATGTTATTCCAGAATAATAAAAATTTAAAAGGAAAAATAGCTCCCATGGGTTAAGTTTAAAATAAAGGCCTACCAGTAAATATTATTATATGCTTAACATTTTAAAAATATATTTAAGTCAGGCCCATAAATGGAAAATGGGCCACACCTGTAATTAAATAAACAACTATGTTCAGAATATCTCCAAACAGAATAAGAGAATATTTTTAGTCAAAAATGTATAATAGGTATTTTGGTTCTCTTCATTTGGTTCAGGGAGGGCAGGTCTGTAAACAGGCACAGACTCCATCAACAAATATTTTACAAATTCCATTTTAACATGGTTAGGGGCAAGTCGAAGGGAAGAAGGGGAAGATCTTTAAGATTTCCAACTCAATGCCCATTTCTTTTTTTTAATTTTTTTTTTTTATTGATTTTTACAGAGAGGAAAGGAGAGAGATAGAGAGTTAGAAACATCGATGAGAGAGAAACATCGATCAGCTGCCTCCTGCACATCTCCTACTGGGGATGTGCCCGCAACCCAGGTACATGCCCTTTACCGGAATCGAACCTGGGACCTTTCAGTCCGCAGGCCGACGCTCTATCCACTGAGCCAAACCGATTTCGGCAATATTAAGTCAGCCTAGTTCTTATGCCAGCTCCTAAGTCATACTGAGAAGATATGGCTGAGGACCTGTGCCTATCTAAGACCATCCTTCTAGTAACTCTTAGTTGCCTCCTTTCCTCCGGAACAGACCATGCTGCAGGGGCTAGGGTTCCAGTGGAAAGTCACACCAGAACCTCAGTTCTCTCTAGTGGGAGGTAGTGGGTCAGAGAGAGGTTCAGATCAGGATGAGAGAGGGAGGAGCGGAGATGGGAGAGAGTAGTAACCTCTGTCCAATCTGTTTACCACATTATAAACCCTTTTTTCATCTTTGCTACACCCATCTTCCAGGTAAGGCAACTGAGGACCAGAGAGGTCATCCTCCTAGGGCCAAGAGATTTTCAACAAGGGAAAGAAGACTTTCTTCCACAAACAGTACTGGGACAACTGGATAGTCCATGCAAAACAATGAAGTTAGACTCTATCACACACCATCTACAAAAATTAGCTCAAAGTGGATCAATGACCGAAATGCAAGATTCAAATGATAAAACAATTAGAAGGAAACAGGGACATAAGTCTTCATGGCCTTGGATCTAGCAATGGATTCATAGATAGGACACCAAAGACATGATCAAGAAAAGACAAAATAGCCCTGGCAGGGTTGTCCAATGGTTAGAGCGTCAGTCCACAGAACAAAGGGTCTGGGTTCCATTCCTGGTCAATGACATGTACCTTGGTTGCAGGTTTAATCCTGCATGTGGATTAAACCCTTTCACTCTCTTTAAAAATCAACAGGGAAAATATCAGATGAGGACTTAAAAAGAAAGACAAAACAGAAAAATTGGGTTTTATCAAAATTACTTTTTTTTTAATCCTCACCTCAGGATATTTTTCCCATTGATTTTTAGAGAGAATGAAAGGGAGGGAGGGAGGGAGGAGAAGGAGAGAGAGAGAGAGAGAGAGAGAGAGAGAGAGAGAGAGAGAGAGAGATCCATGTGAGACTCATCCACTGGTTGACTCCTGCCCATGCCCCTGACTGGGGTGGGGGACAGGGGACGGGTGCAAATCGCAACCCAGGTATGTGCCCTTGACTGGGAATCAAACCCAAGACCCTTCAGTCTGAGAGCCAGTGCTCTAACCACTAAGAAAACCAGCCAAGGCCAAAATTACAACTTTTTAAAAAATATATATTTTGTATTGATTTCAGAGAGGAAAGGAGAGGGAGAGAGAGATAGAAACATCAATGATTAGAGAGAATCATTGATTGGCTGCCTCCTGCACACCCCCACTGGGGACTGAGCCTGCAACCCAGGCATGTGCTCTTGACTGGAATCGAACCAGGAACCCTTTAGTCTGCAGGCCAACACTTTATCCACTGAGCCAAACCAGCTAGGGCCAAAATTACAAATGTTTTTGAACTAAAAACATTACCAAGAAAATGAGCCCTAGCTGGTTTTGCTCAGTGGCTAGAGCATCAGCCTAAGGACTGAAGGGTCCTGGGTTCAATTCTGGCTAGGGGCACATACCGGGGTTGTGAGCTCAATTCCCAGTAGGGGACTGCAGGAGGCAGCCAATCAATGATTCTCATCATTGGTGTTTCTATGTCTCTCTCCCTCTCCCTTCCTCTCTGAAGTCAATAAAATATATTTTTTAAAAATATGAAAAGAGCCCTGGCCAGTGTGGTTCAGTGGTTGAGCGTCAACCCATGAATCAAGAAGTCACTGGTTCGGCCCTAACAGGTTTGGCTCAGTGGCTAGAGCGTCGGCCTGTGGACTGAAGGGTCCCAGGTTCGATTCCGCTCAGGGGCATGTGCCTTGGTTGCAGGCACATCCCCAGTAGGGAGTGTGCAGGAGGCAGCTGATCGATGTTTCTTTCTCATCGATGTTTCTGACTCTCTGTCCCTCTCCCTTCCTCTCTGTAAAAAAAATCAATAAAATATATTAAAAAAAAAAAAAAGAAGTCACTGATTCAATTCCCAGTCAGGGCACCTGCCCAGATTTCGGGCTCGAGCCCCAGTAGGGGGTGTGTGGAAGGCAGCTGATCGATGAGGTTTCTCTCTCATCCATGTTTCTCTCTCCCTCTCCCTTCCTCTCTCTCTAAAAATCAATAAAAACATTAACAAAAAACATTTTCAAGAAAATGAAAACAGCCCTGGCAGGTGTGACTCAGTGATTAGAGGTCCAGGGTTCGATTCCCAGTCAAGGGCATATACCTGGGTTGCAGGTTGGTCCCTGCCCCAGGTTGGGGGGATGGCAACCGATGAGTGTGTCTTTCTCACATTCTCTCTCTCTCTCTCTCTCTCTCCCTCTCTCCCTCTCTCTCTCATCTCTGTCTCTGTTTCTCCCCTTCCCTTGTCTCCCTCCCTTCCACTCTCTCTCTCTGAAAAGCAATGGAAAAAATATCCTTGGCTGATGATTAACAAGAAAAAGAAAATGAAAAGATAACCTATAGAATGGGAGAAAAATATTTGTAAAATCACATATCTGATAGGGGTGCAGTACCCAGAATAACTCAACAACAAAAAGACAAATAACCCAATTAAAAATTAGCAAAAGACCTGAATAGTCATTTCTCCAAAGATATAAAAATGGCCAACAAGCACATGAGAAGATGCTCAACACCGTTAGGGAAAAGCTAATAAAAACCACAATGAGATATACAACCACCCACTTGTAAGTACCATCTCCAAGAAAGTAATATGTCCATCCGTCCTCCACCCACATTTTTAAATTTTGTTTCATTACATGTCAAAGTAATTTGCATAGATCCCATCAGTCTGCATATTCCTTTTCTTTTTAACTTTTAATCCACAAATAATTCATGCAGGTGATCTTTTTTAAAAAAATGGAAACATGACAGAGAACATAAAATTGCCTCCTACCGTCACTCCCCTCAACCTGGTTCTGTCCCTAGAAATGACCACAGCCATCCTCAATGTGGAGTGTGTCTTTACATTTTTCTGAGCTTTGCAAGCGTCCACATGTAGTTGTGGAAAGCAGTACGGTGCTATTTGCAAGTTTTTCTTTTTAACACAATGAACATGTCCTTCTGCAGGTTGCTTTTTCATGCAACACCTTTCCATGTCAGCATATGGTTCTACCTTATCCCTTCTCCAGGCTGCAGTCTTCCACAGTGAGGATACATCATGGGTTTATATACCCAGGCCCCATCTGATGGACAGTTAGGTAGTTTATTTCTGGTGTCATTTCTCTCTTTTTCCATTTTTGTCCAGACAGAAAAGAAATGGGTTTCTTTGGCCCTTGCTGGTTTGGCTCAGTGGATAGAGCGTTGGCCTGTAGACTGGAAGGTCCTGGGTTCGATTCTGGTCAAGGGCACATGCCTGGGTTGTGGGCTCAATCCCCAGTAGGGGGCTTGGAAGAGGCAGCTGATCAATGATTCTCTCTCATCATTGATGTTTCTCTCTTTCTCCCTCTCCCTTCCTCTCTGAAATCAATAAAACTATATATTTTTTAAAATGTTTTAAAAAAGAAAGAAATGTGTGTTTTTTGTTTATTTGTTTAAGTGTTCAGTATTAGAGATCATTTATATTAGATCAGTCCAAAGGGTGGTCTATGGGGAGCTGGAAGCAGTGGTAAGTTATTACAAGCAGATGCCCCAGGAACTCTGGGGAAGGTTGGTGTGGGTGTTGCTGGGAACTCACCACATTCAATGTGCTGATTGTTGCATGTCCAAGGGTAGGACTGCAGCTTGGGTATGCAGCCAGCCTCCTCACTGGCATGCCGGTAGCAGCAATCATGACGGTGACAGCACCTGTGGATGGCAAACAGGCAGACCAGCAGGTGAGTGAAGGCTGCTCTCCTGACCATCTTTCCATGCCAGGACTATGGGTGAGCATCTTCTGGTCCAAACTTTGTTCCTGAGAATCCTATCTTGGGAAATACGTCTACTGACCTGCACTGCCTCCATCGCCAGCCATGCTTGAGCCTGGCCCCTGCCTGCCTCACTCCCGTGGTCTCTGAGCTCCAGCAGAACTACTCTCCTCTTTGTTGCTAGAACGAGCCTGCTTCCCGCCTTTGCCCTCTGCCTAGGACAGGGGTGGGCAAACTTTTTGACTCGAGGGTCACAATGGGTTCTTAAACTGGACCGGAGGACCGGAACAAAAGCATGGATGGAGTGTTTGTGTGAACTAATATAAATTCAAAGTAAACATCATTACATAAAAGGGTACGGTCTTTTTTTTCAATAGTTTTATTCACTTCAAACGGGCCGATCCGGCCCGCGGGCCGTAGTTTGCCCACGGCTGGCCTAGGACAACTGCATGCCCACTCTTCCTCCTTTAGGTCTCAGCCTAAGTGCCAGCTCCCATCCCCAGAATGTCATCAGGACCCCTGCTTCCCAGACTATGAGGGTCTCTTTGTTACACCCTCTCATAAAACCAGGTTCCCTCCCTCCAAGGCAGGTTTATAATGAGACCCTCATTAGCAAGAAGGTTAACACCCGTCCTCCTCACTGACCAGAGCTCTAAGACAGTGGTTCCCAACCTTGGCTGCACAGTAGAATCACCTGGGAATCTTTTTAAAATCCTGATTTCTGGCCGAAGCCGGTTTGGCTCAGTGGATAGAGCGTCGGCCTGCGGACTGAAAGGTCCCAGGTTCGATTCCGGTCAAGGGCATGTACCTGGGTTGCGGGCACATCCCCAGTAGGAGATGTGCAGGAGGCAGCTGATCGATGTTTCTATCTCTCTCCCTTCCTCTCTGTAAAAAATCAATAAAATATATTTAAAAAAAAAAAAAAAAATCCTGATTTCTGGGCCTCATCCTCCGGAAATTCTGTTTCTTTGTTATGGGGTGGGGCCACAACATTAGCCTCAATTTCCTCATTTCTGAAGTGGGATTGTTGTGAGGACTCAAAAGGGGTTCTCAAAACAGTTTCTGGTGCACTTTAAGTCTGATCAGTTTTGTGTTTTGTTTTGTGGTTTGTTTGTTTTTTCAGCCAAAGAAATCATCCCATAGCCCAGCGGTTCTCCACCTGTGGGTCGCGCGGCCCCTTTGGGGGTCGAACGACCCTTTCACAGGGGTCGCCTAAGACCATCGGAAAACACATATATAATTACATATTGCTTTTGTGATGAATCACTATGCTTTAATTATGTTCAATTTGTAACAGTGAAATCGGGGGTCACCATAACATGAGGAACTGTATTAAAGGGCCGCGGCATGAGGAAGGTTGAGAACCACTGCATAGCCAGCGTGAGGGGGCAGCTGGCAATGTTACCCAGGAGGACCTCTGCCTGCAAGGCAGTAAAACGTGCTATTTCCTCATAGGCCTTAACTACCCCCAGGAGGTGGGAGACCTTCTAGCCTGGCCCACGCATACACTCACCGGTCCATGGCATCCAGGGGCTTGCCTCGGCCACCCAGGCCACAATAGCAGCCGTATCTAATATAGGCCAGGGGGCTGCGGGGGCCCACACAGTGTACGGTCCCTGCCAGTTCTATGAGCCCACGTCGGTGCACATGTGACGTCAAGGATGCTGGGGGAAAACAAGGGTTAGAGGCTGCCGGTCAGGTCTTCCCTGGCCCTGGGAAAGGTCACTGGCCTGAAAGAGCCTGGATGACTGCCTGGGTTTGAATCCTGCTCCTCCCAGTCGCTGGCTGGGTGACCTGGAACAACTTACTCAAACTCTCTGTGCCTTGCTTTCTTCGTCTGCAAAATTAGGGGGTAAGTGCACCTCTCTTCATAGAATGAAATGAGATCATGTATGTAAAGCACCTGGCACACAGCAAGCTCTAGCTATTATTACCGATATCTTCAAGGCAGCCATGAAAGAGAAAACAAGACACAGGGCCACAGCACCCTGAAAGATCTCACCACTGGGCCCTCTTCCTGGAATGCCCTGACTCCCAATCTCCTGCCCTTGTCAACTTCCGGCACAGTCAGAGTCCAAGTTGTGCATCAAATGTCTGTCCCATTGCCCTAACCGGTTTGGCTCAGTGGATAGGGCGTCAGCCTGCGGACTGAAGGGCCCCAGGTTCGATTCCGGTCAAGGGCACGTGTCTTGGTTGTGGGCACATCCCTAGTAGAGGGTATGCAGGAGGCAGCTGATGGATGTTTCTAACTCTCTATTCCTATCCCTTCCTCTCTATAAAAAAATCAGTAAAATATATTTTAAAAAACGTCTGTCCCATTGCCGGTGATGAGCACTGGACATCACAGATGAGCTAAACGGGGTCCCTGCCACCAAGGAGGGCTCCTCTGTGCAGGCTTCCCTGTCCCTGTTTCTCTCCACCACCAGCACCACCACTTCCACCTAGACCAGCGCTTCTCAACCTGTGGGTCACGACCCCTTTGGGGGTCGAACGACCCTTTCACAGGCGTCGCCTAAAACCATCGGAAAACACATATATAATTACATATTGTTTACAGTAGCAAAATTACAGTTATGAAGTAGCAACGAAAATAATTTTACGGTTGGGGGTCACCACAACATGAGGAACTGTATTAAAGGGTTTGAGAACCACTGATCTAGACTCTGGTTCAGGGCCCTTTCCATCTCCTCTTACTTTCCCTGCCTAGCCTCAGCTTCTTCCCACACAGGGAGGTCCTGTGGCCCGAGCCCAGTTATGGCTCTGACACAGAGCAGGGCACAGTAGGTGCAATGGGAACCCCTGCCTTTCACAGCCACACAGCCAACAAGAACCTGGCTGATTGAACCTGGCCGGATCAGAACCTCTAATCCAGGCTTCTGACTCCCAATCCAGTGCTCAGTCCTCCTTGCCCAGTAACAGCAGGGGAAGGAGACCTGCCAGGGTGACAGAGCTGAGGGGCACCAAGGAGGGGGCCACTGCTCAGGGTCAGGCATCTCCAAACTCTCTGTAACATGGGCATCAGAGAACACACTCCCTGTGAGTGTGTGCCTATGCACCCCTTAGACTAAGACTAAGAGAGGCAAAAGGACCCATCCCGGGTCACAGGGCTGGTGGGTCTCAGAGCAGACGCCCAGGCCCAGACCTGCCTGATTTCTGGGAGTCTGCTCTCCACTGCTCTGGGACTGCCGAGCCAGAGATTTATGCATTACATCTAGTCATCGTGTCTCTGTTCTAGAACAAGTTGTTACTCCACTGACTCTTTTTAAGAGTACAGACCAGAATTACATCCAGCTCGCTCTCTCGGGATTTGCCAAGTGCTGCCCACACCTCTGCCTGAAACCACCCTTCAGAGAAAGCTCAGGGGCCTCACTGCAGCCCAGAGACCCTGCAGGAGCCTGCCTCTCCCTCCTCTCCAGTGTCCGCTCTGAATGCTCACCACAGAGATCCTGCTCATCATTTCCTGTTCCTCCAGTTACATTCCCCGTCACATATATCCTGTGCTGCACATGCCCTCGCCCCATCCTCACCCAGCTCACCTGTCACCTCCTAGAATCTGCCTCACCCTCAGGTCGACCACAGGAGCCCTGTCACATTGTGCTGCTATCTGCTTCCGGGAGTGACTCTCTAGCCTGGGAGCTCTTGGAGGGCAGATCTCTGCCACAGGCAGCTCCAGATGCCCTGGCACACAGATGGCTTCCATAAAAGGTCCCCTGACCTCTGGCTCCACCAAGCCCCAGTCTAAGCATACATGACAGGGCCCCAGTCTTAATCCTATGCCCCACAGCTGTCCCCAGAAGTCCCCCACCCTGACCTAACCACACTCCAGCATCTCAGGGTCCTGGGGACAGCCCTATGGAGAACCCAAGCATGGGGCAGAGGCCAGCACTGGGTTTGGAACCAAGGAAAACACTCCCTCTTCGGTGAGGCAGGTCACTCTGAGGTCTGTTTGCTCTGTCTGCCCACAGCAGCCTTGCTAGGAGTGCCAAGGCTGTCTGGGCTTCCTATATTCCTAAGGGCCTGAGGGTGTGTGTGTGTGTGTGTGTTCTCCTTGGGGAATCTTTGCTTGTGTCTGTGTGTGAGTCTGTCCATGAGCCCTACACCTAAGTGCCCAGGTGAGGCTGGGGGTGTATGTGTATATGATGTGGTGTCTGTATATCTCCCTGTGAGTGTGTGCCTGTGCACCCCAGAAATGGGGAGTCATTGAGGGGACCTCTCCAAGTGTGGTGCCTAGGGAGGGGTAAGAAGGCAACCTCATGTTCCTCCCCCACCCCAGGTAGGGCAGACCCTTCTTCCCCTGTTCCTCCTGCCTCTGGTGTCCCCTTGGTAGTCCCACTTCAGACCCCAGGGACAGGTAGATGGGGAGGGTGTGGTCGCTGAAGGGGGTTACAGTGATGGCGGGGGTGTCTGGGGAGGACACCGAGACCCTGGGAAGGGCTGGCCTAGTTTTGGGTCCCTGGGAGGAGTGGATGAGTGGAAGCTCTTGGGGAGGACAGGGGACAAGGCTCTTAGAAACCTGGTAAGAAAGTGTCAGTGAGCCAGAGAAAGGAGGGATTAGGAAAGTAGGGCTCCCGGGACCTTGGAAAGGGCTGGTAAGTTGGAGTTCCTGCAGAGGGGTGGGAGCAGGGCTGGGGTGGAGGGAGGGCTGAAGGAGTCCCAGGAACTCCTTGGTCCTCCAGGGGCGCACTCCTCACTCACCTGCGCAGGGCAGGAGTCCGGGTACCAGGAGCAGCAGAAGCGGCAGCATTGCTGGCTGGCACAGGGGCAGCTGACCCATAGGAAGGCGGCAGGTGTGGGACGATCTGGCTGACCAGTGTATATAGTCACCAAACTGGGGCCCAAACCCCCACCCCCACGCCCCGCCCAGCCCCGCCCCTGCCCTCACCTTACCGCAGGGCCGGATGGAGCCCGGCAAGGGCAAGCCCCTGGGGCGGCAAGAGAAGTCCTTCCAGGACCTCTGCATCTTGGTCATGGAATGGGCGCTGGAGGCCAAAAGAGAGAATCTGGCCCAGGAAGTCTCCAATTAGGGTTTGGGGAGAATTAGGGAGGAAAGGAGTTTAGCACAGGTCGACCCACCAAGTAAATGCTCAAAAAGGGAGCTCTCTTCATATTATGATTCCCTGCAGCCCCCTTCCAGCACTCACCTGGGCATCGAAAAGAAGAGTTCGAGGAGCGGGAGGGACAAATTATTTTAAACACTTTAAATGTAGGAAACTTGGCGCTCCGGGTACCTCTAGAAATCAGCTCTCTGCACCGCGCCCCCCCCCCCCCCCCCCCGCCCGCCTCACCACCACCATCACCCTTGGGAAACTGAAGGGGTCAAAGATTTGCCCTAAGTGGGTTCTGGTGAAAGAGCTGAACTGGTGTAGGAGGGGAGCTGGCCTCACACCCCATGCCCTTTCTGCCTCAGGCTTCTCATCTGGTCAAGGGTAGCAAAGCCACCGTGAGGCAGTGAAGACAGACACAGCAGGTGCTCAGCACTGAAAGGCAGTGACAGTTGCGGCACACATCTGTCCCCCTTAGTCCCTACCCAGTGTCATCAATTTCTGACGATTTCTGGTCAAAACCATTTCTGAGAGTGGAACTCCTAGACTCCTCCCATCTCCACAGCCAAGCTCTCGTAAAAATAATGGCAACTAATAATGGTCCTGTTCAGACCGGCCAATGAATGGAACAGGGAAACTGAGACGAGAGCTGAACAAGAGGCACAGCAATTCACAGCAGATACAGCAGGTCACCTCCCTACAGATAACAACGTCTAGGCTCATTTGTATTTCAGCTCCAGGCCCAGAAAAGCAGCAACACCAGGTGGGTGACACCAGACCAGCTGCAGTGACTAAGGACGCCCTGGCATTGACAAATCAGTGAAGACCACGACCCTGAAGGAGCACACCGGAAGACGGATGAATATTCTGCTGAAACCCTCTCCTGAGACCTCCCCTAAAATTCCTGCTGGCAAGAGAGATACAATCACTGAGACAAAGGAGCCCTCACTCTCCCTCCCAGGACCATGCCCACGCCTCCCCACAACTTCTTTCCCCACAGGCGTGCCTCTAAGGGACCTCACCAGGCTTGCAATCAGGGCAGCAAATACAACAGCAAAACAGTCCCAGGCAAAACTCCTGAACCTGTCTCTAAGGCCCCCTTTACTCTGACTTTTTAGTGAGCCAAAAGCAGACAAGCCTAGTCTCATTTCCTTGTTTCATGGTTCTGTTATGGACCAATGTTCGCGAGAGTAAGACCACCAACTCCAATTAGGTCTTAAGCAGCAAGTGAGGATTTATTGAAAAGGTGGCCAGCGGCTGCCGCAGGCGTGTTCTCCCACGACAGCGCCGACCCTGGTTCTGGGCCAGCCTTTTATTCCCAAAAACCATACAACGGTTGGCTAAACACACACAAAGTTACCTGAGATACAGACACAAAGTTACCAAGGTATTCATTAATCAACTTGCCCCGTTGCTTATACTACTAATATAAACTTGCCCCTAGGCTACCCTCGACCACAGTTGGTTCCATTTCCCTGGTACAAGAGGGGCTTAACTGTAACAGTTCCCCAGATTGAATAAACGTCCTCTCAAATTCACCTGGACTCGTATTGTGAAGTTTTTCCTGCTTCAAAGTCAAGAACCCACACACTATGGCTGGCCCTAGGAAAAGCCCCAGCCAAAGCTGTTTCCAGTAACAATGTCTCACTAGCTATAATGTGGTAAGAATCCCCACCTTTCAGAATTTTAGAGAGTGAGGGGGGGGGGCGGGGTGGCGGAGAGAGAAACATTTGTTGATGTGAGAGAGACACATCGATTGGTTGCCTTCCACATTGGATCCCTTCTGGGATCAAGCCTGCAACCCAGGTATGTGCCTTTGACCTGGAATCGAACCCGAGACCCTTCGGTGCATGGGCCGATGCTCTTACCACTGAGCCAAACCGGCCAGGGACAGACCCATGATCTTAGCACAGCCTCAGACCCCTCCGGTGTCCCCATTTCACAGGAAAAGATCGAGGCTCAGAGAAGTTAAGAACCAAGAATTGTGGGTGCCCAGATTAAAATTCATTTCTACATGTTGCCAAATCTCTGTCTGCCTCCTTCTGAGGCAGGATAGTAAGAAGCTAGGAAATTTCCTGGGCAAGTAAAATACGGGAACTGAGATGGATAAATGACCAAGCAGCTTGCAACCATTTAGAAATCCTATCTTCCCTAAACCGAAGACACTTAAGAGTAAATGGCTTACACCTCTCCCCAACCAGAGGCTGATTAGTTTAAATCACTAAGGGAGCTAGAGAGCAGAAACCCAATTAGTGCCATTTGTGCCAGGGACAGATGAAATTAAGGGAATAAATCTCATTTTGGCACATCAGCATAAAAATGATGAATATTCTATTGAGATCCTCTCCTACGACTTCCCCTCAACTCCCAGCCTTTAAAAATCCTCAAAATGAAGTCCCAGCAAGAGCTCTCCATCCTGGGGAGCACACCCAAGCCTTTTCCTTCCCGCTATCTCCCCCCACAGGCATGCACCTCCTAAACTCTAAGGGACCCCACGAAACTTGCAACCAGGGCAGCAATGGTCAGTGACAGCTTGTCCTGGGCTAACCCCCTAAGACCTGTTCTTAGACTTACCAGTGAGCTAAAGCAACCCTGCCACGGCTCCTTTCTTTCTTTCTTTTTCTTTCTTCCTTTCTTTTTTTTAAAAAAAATTTCTTTAAGTTATTACATATGTGAACATCTCTCCACATTACCCCCCATACCCCCCACTCATGCCCTCACCCCCCTGTGTCTGTATCCATTGCTTAGGCCTATATGTTTGCATATAAGTCCTTTGTGAAGTATGGTAGCAATCATCTCAGGTAGAAACTATAGTTTAACTTTAACCCTGCTGTTTGGCTTCTGTACCTATTTGCTTTGTTTAACAATAGAAAGGTTATTTTGACTTTCTGAATTATATAAATCATCCCATTCAATTGAATGCCTTATTGATTGTAATGTGAATATCCCATTGGTTGTGATCTTACTGGTTTTAGAAAGCAAATTCCTCTGTACCTGGGAACCAGGACAGCACAATTATCCCAAGACCTGAGGGTTCTAGATAATATGTCCCTGTCAACCCAGGGGTCCTAGATAATGTGTTTCTGTCAACTCAGTGACCCGGAGACCCAAAACAATAATTAACATGCTTAACTCTGCTTCTGTAAACTGTTTTGCAGACCAGGTTCCTCATTCCAAACCCTGGGATGTAATCAATACCTTTGTGATCTTTACCTATATAAATCTGGTGTTGCGGCCATCTTATCACTTCGAGATTTGGGAGAGCGAAATGCCCCCTCGGAGTCCCGGATTGCAATAAATGTGACTCTTTAATTCGACTTCTTGAGGTGTCCTTCTGTGATTCGCGAGGTACATTATAACATTTGCCTGATCTTTCCCCCTTACCCCCACCCTCCCCTACCTTCCCTCTGAGGTTTGACGGTCTGATCGATGCTTCTCTGTCACTGGATCTGTTTTGTTCATCAGTTTATGTTGTTCATTATATTCCATAAATGAGTGAGATCATGTGATATTTATTTTTCTCATTGGCTTATTTCACTTAGCATAATGCTCTCCAGGTCCATCCATGCTGTTACAAATGGTAAGAACTCCTTCTTTTTTTACCACAGCATAGTATTCCATTGTGTAGATGTACCACAGTTTTTTAATCCACTCATCTACTCATTTCTTTTTTTTTTTTTTTAATTGCTAAAAGTATTACAAAGGGTATTACATATGTGTCCTTTTTTTCCCCCTGCCCTTAACAATCCCCTGGCCGCCCCTACTCATTTCTTTCTTATAACATTTCTAGAGAGCCAAAGCCACCCCACCTAGGCTCTCTCCTGTAGCTTCTTCTATCTTAGGCCCTTCCTTGTATCCCTGTCCCCGGTTTTAATAAATGTACCCTCAAAATCACCTGGACCAATGTTGTGAAATCTTTCCTGCACGTAGTCAAGAACCCACACACTGCCGAAACCGGTTTGGATCAGTGGATAGAGCGTCAGCCTGCGGACTGAAAGGTCCCAGGTTCGATTCCGGTCAAGGGCATGTACCTGGGTTGCGGGCACATCCCCAGTAGGGGGTGTGCAGGAGGCGGCTGATCGATGTTTCTCTCTCATCGATGTTTCTGACTCTCTATCTCTCTCCCTTCCTCTCTGTAAAAAATCAATAAAATATATTAAAAAAAAAAAAAAAAGAACCCACACACTTACCAGCTGCCCCTAGGCCAGTCCCCTTCCCATAACACTTCTATGAAAACCTAAGGCATCAGGCCATTCATCTGCCACCCTCAGTCATTCTCTCCACTGGAGTGAGCTCCTCAAGGCAAGGCGTGGTCTCTCCTCTTGAACCCCTAACATGGGCCTGCCTGCACACAAGTGTCCAATGAGGGCTTGTCCGCACAGATTATGGGTCTCAGACTCTCCAAAACATGGGGTAAAAAACATTGTCTTTCTTCTAAGGATCTCCTATGAGCAATGGGGGATAAAATATCCCACATAAATATATGGAGAAAGACGTTTGCTTTCAAGGAATTTCCCAATCAATGTGCACAGAGGAAACCTCATTTACACTGGTGCCGGGAGCCAGTCCATCCTTGCTGTTTCAAGGGACCTGGCATATATAGCATACTGTTCTTAATATGTTTGCTCACCTTCTTGGCACTATGTGTTTTAACCAAGGTCACCTCTCTGAGAAAGGTTGTTTCCCCAGGTAGGGATTTTCCCCTGAAGTTAGGGAGGGAATAAAACCCCTT